CTTCTCTTCTCTTCTCTTCTCTTCTCTTCTCTTCTCTTCTCTTCTCTTCTCTTCTCTTCTCTTCTCTTCTCTTCTCTTTCTCTCTTCTCTTCTCTTCTCTTCTCTTCTCTTCTCTTCTCTTCTCTTCTCTTCTCTTCTCTTCTCTTCTCTTCTCTTCTCTTCTCTTCTCTTCTCTTCTCTTCTCTTCTCTTCTCTTCTCTTTCTTTCTTCTCTTCTCTTCTCTTCTCTTCTCTTCTCTTCTCTTCTCTTCTCTTCTCTTCTCTTCTCTTCTCTTCTCTTCTCTTCTCTTCTTCTCTTCTCTTCTCTTCTCTTCTCTTCTCTTCTCTTCTCTTCTCTTCTCTCTCTTCTCTCTCTTCTCTTCTCTTCTCTTCTCTTCTCTTCTCTTCTCTTCTCTTCTCTTCTCTTCTCTTCTCTTCTCTTCTCTTCTCTTCTCTTCTCTTCTCTTCTCTTCTCTTCTCTTCTCTTCTCTTCTCTTCTCTTCTCTTCTCTTCTCTTCTCTTCTCTTCTCTTCTCTTCTCTTCTCTTCTCTTCTCTTCTTTCTCTTCTCTCTCTTCTCTTCTCTTCTTTCTTCTCTCTCTTCTCTTCTCTTCTCTTCTCTTCTCTCTCTTCTCTTATCCTTATATTATTATTATATTATATTATTTTATATTATATTATAGGAAGCTGTTCTGAGCTATGATAAAAAAAATAATTATAGTTTATAGTTTTGCTTACCTGCGATTTGAATTCTGCGAATTTGGTGAAAAAACAATTTTATGTAATATTTTACAAATATTTAGAAAATAAAATATTAAGCCTTTGTTTTTATACCCACCATCAAAAACGATGGAAGGTATATTGATTTTGTCATTCCGTTTGTAACACATCGAAATATTGGTCATAGACCCATAAAGGCATAAATATTCTGGGTCCTTATTAAATTCTTAGACGATGTCCGTTCGTCTGTCCGCCTGTCTGTTTAAATCACGATAGGGACCACACGGGAGGAGCTAGACAGTTTAAGTTTTGCGCAAATATTCTCTATTGCTAAGGTTTGTTTGGTATTGAAAATGGGCAATATCAGTCCACTTTTTCGGATAGCCCCCATACAAGTGGGCTTCAAAAAACAGCTTTATCGGGTATAACTGCTTTAGAAGTACGAGTATAGCGATGAAATTCGCCTTAACAAATTTTCATATGAGCCAAAATCTTGGTACTAATTTTTTTGAGGGTCGGTCCTTAATTTACCCTACCTCCATATGACTTTAACACGCATTACTTGGCGCAAAATGCGAGTATATAGATGAAATTCGGTATAAGTAAGTGTCTTACGAACCAAAACCTCTCTACCAATTTGTTTTATTGTTGGGCCATAAATGACCCTACCCCCTATATAAGGTTCCCTTCAGAAAATGACTTTAACACTCATTACTAGCCTAAAAATTCGAGTATAGCGATGAAACTAGGTATAAGTTAGTGTCTTACGAACCTAAATCTCTTTGCCAATTTTTTTTAAGGATCGGCCCATAAATGACCCTACCTCCATATAAGGTCCCCTTCAGAAAATGACTTTAACACTTTATGGCGATGAAATTCGGTATAAGTAAGTTTCTTACGAACCAAAACCGCTCTACCAATTTTTTTTAGGATCGGCCAATAAATGACCTTATAAGGTTCCCTTCTGAAAATGACTTTAACTCTTATTACTGGCTAAAAAATTCGAATATAGCAATAAAATTTTACACAATTAAGTTCCTAGCGAGCGAAAATCTCTTTACCAACTTTTATGTGGATAGGTTCATAATTGACCCTATCCCTCCTATTGGGTCCCCGTCAGGAAATGGCTTTAACGCTCATTACTGGCTTAAAAGTACGAGTAAAGCGAGGAAATGCGACACACGTAAGTTTCTTACGAGCTAAAATCTCTGTACCATCTTTTTTTGGATCGGCCCATAATTTCATGAAATTTGGCATAAACAAGTTCTATACAAAACGAAATCTATGTACAAAATTTTATGAGTATCGGTTCATAAATGATGCATATAAAGGTTCAGAAAATTACTCATACGCTCACTGTTTAAAGATTGAACAAAAATATTTTGTTTTTAAAAATTAATATTTTGTTAATTCAAAAGAGCTCGGTACATAATTGACTTAAGCCATATTACAAATATCACCCTGATGTTTATAGGGGAGCATTCCTTCTACGGCATACCGAATATAACACTCTCACTTGTTTTAAATTATATAGTGCATTCTTTAAATTAATTTATTGAATTTTGGGGTTATAATGAACCCAAGTGCTTTAAAGCGATAATTTATTTTTATGTTTATTTAAAATATCGGACCGTATACTATAAATTTCTGTAATTTTTGTAAATATGGCAACAAATAATTAATATTTCGATATGTTTCTATGAGAATTTCCTAGAATTTCAGGATTTATATATATATTCAGAGACGTATCTAACATTATTTGAGAAATAATATTCTGTAAATATTTAGCTTGAAATGTATAACAGTACAGAATTAAGACTTGTTATCTAAAATATTACAAAACAAGTAAGAGTGCTATATTCGGCTGTGCCGAATCTTATATACCCTTCACCATAGTGTATTTAAACATTAATTTTCCCGACTATATCATTGTTATAGCAATAGCAAAACATAATGAACAACAACAATGCTAAACGAAATAAACACACAAAAAACTAAAAAAATACAGAAAAAAACAAAATACACAACGTAATGAAACCAACAGACATCCAAACATACGAAATTCAATACACCAAGAAAACAAAAACAATATACACAAGGCAATGAAACACACAGCCATCCAAACATACGTAATTGAATGTACCAAGAAACAAAAACAATATACGCAAGGCAATGAAACACACAGCCATCCAAACATACGAAACGAAATACTCAAAAAAAAAAAACAAAAACAAAATACAAAGGCAATGAATAAGCAGTGTTGTTGTTGGTTATTTTTTATGAAATTTTCCGAGGTTGTCTCGGATTTTTGCTTATATCTCCGTTGTTTATGAACGGATTTTGCTGATTTTAAATAGAAACTTCTCGAAAGCATGTCTGATAGAATTATTGAAGATTTGGATCCCGAAGATATCTGGGGTCTTCAGAAAACTGATTGCAACAGACAGACGGACTTGGCTTAATCGACTCCGCCATCTATAAGGATTCAGAATATATATACTTTATGCGGTCGGAAAATTATATTTTGGAAATTACAAACGGAATGACAAACTTATATATACCCTTCTCACGAAGGCGAAGGGTATAACAAGTAGGAAAGTATAGTCGGGCATGGCCGACCATATGATACCCTACACCACTGAGTATGTTTAAAATGTGGATTATATTTAAAAACAAAGCATTTAAGTTGTTTACCTTAATTGCGAAATATTTTAAAAATTTCTTGAAAAAAGTGATTTTCTAAAAGAAAGGTTATATGGGGCAAGGGTAAATATGGGCCTATCCTTATAAATTTTGGTACATGGATTTACGTTTACATTAGAGTTATGTATGCTGGATTTCATCGTAATACTAGTCTTTATTATTGAATTATTAACCATCAAGTCATTTTCTTAAGGGGACTTTGTATGGGGGCTAGGGTCAAATAAAGTCCGATAATTACGAAAATCGGTAGTATTATTAAGACGTATATAGAACTAAGTTTTGCTGATTTTTGTAGAGATACTACAATATTTAACAAAATTATGAACTCAAAAGCCCTTTCCGGGGGGTAGGGTTGTATGGGGGCTAGGTGAAATAATGGACCGATTTCAAACACGAATGGCCCAATTTTCAGCAAATTATCTTGAAAATTACGACCTGTACCTTGCGCAAAAGATTTACATGGACAGCTAGCCAGCCAGCCGAACAGACGGACGGACGGACATGGCTTAATCGACTCAGAAAGTGATGTTTGTGCGTTACAAACATCAGCACAAACGTATAATACCCTCCACACAATGGTGGTGTAGGGTATATTCGCAGAATTCAAATTGCAGGTACAGCTAAACTATGAGAGGTATTAACCCAATTTTAAAATTTATTTAACAAAGTTTAAAAAAAATGAAAATATAGTTTTGAAACTTTTTTTATCATAGCTCACATAAACGTGAACTTGTAATCTTTTAGGGACAAAAACTTATATTCGAGTAAATATAGATATATTTTATGTAATAAAATAGTCTTATTGGAATAATTTAAATTATTTTCCACATTCCCTAATCAAGTGCTCTGAGACACGTTAATGACCAGTACCGTAATTCAGTAACTTTTTAACTACAAAATTTTGTCTTTAAATAGAATAAGTTAACAATAATTGTCGTTATGTGGTATTCTGAATTTTATTTCACCGATTTTTTTCGTTAAACAAATTCTTTAGTTAACGAAAAGTATCGGCAATGTAACGACAAATAAAAAGTTCTCGTTAATAATGTTATATATTAAATACAAAACTTTTGACATTCTCATATTTTTGCGACATTTGTCGTTAAAATATTCTAAGTTCGTTAAAAAGTTACAGAATTGAAAATTTGTTAATGCAACCGATGTTTGTCGTTACTTTATATATCGATATCGGTGGTTAAAATTAAAAAATCACAGAATTGCGGTACAGGGGGTTTTTTTAATAACTTTTACATATTCAACCAATTTTTGTGTTTTATATATTTTTGAAATACTAAATCTATGTACATTATCTATGTACAATATGTAAAAAAAATTACTTAATGTAAATTTATCACATAGTATCAAAATATACGAAATATGCTCCGCTTGTTTTGATTATTTACCGTCCTGGAGTTATAGCTTCATATGTTAGCTTTTTGTGTAAACATCGTTTAATGGAGTTCAAATTACGGCTATTTCAATCTCTGGAAAGGGAAATCGTTCTGTGGGGTTTAAACGAACAAGATTCCAACATACACTTTTTTGTGGTCACTTTAATATACATACATAAATGCTTTATACCGAATTTCTATATACCATACCTGTGAACACAGTGAAGCTTCTTCATGAAAATAACCATTAACAAAGTCGCAGTATTCTCTGGTGGTAATTTGACATTCACCGTAAATTCCCGTACAGCAAGGATGCCCAATGACCTCACACACCATATGCTCGGCAGTGTGATCTTTAAACCGAAAGCGTTGTGAAAATGAATTCGTTTTTCGACAAATTGGCCATTTGGTGATATCGTCTGGCCATTCGTAGGGAGCAATAGATGCAGGTGCATCACAATACTTTGGATCCAAACCGCATACAGAGCCGGAAATACGTCCCCCTGGTCCAGATTCACCCGGCGACCATTTTTTCCACGTTGATATAGATTTCTAAAAAAAAGGAATGCTATTTAATACATACGAGTTAGAATTGAAAACTTGTTTTCATAGTACTGTTGGAAATAGTCCTCGCACGGAGCAATCAGCTTGTGAACTTTGTACGCAACCGGAGTCATCGTTGCGAATACAACAGGCTGTTTCTCGTTCCTGTCGCCTTGTTTTCATGACCACGTCAATTATTTTAACATCCCTCCTCATGCAAGTTGCAAATTTGGCACCCATGTGTACCAAATCTTGATTGCGTGGACCTATCCACACATTTCGCTGCTCCGAATGTTGTACAGTTTGTAAACTTAGGCTTGTAACTAATACTTGCCCAGTTCTCTGTTCAACTCCAAAACCTATCGGCCCAATGCCGTAGCACAGAAGGGAGAAGAATAGGACTATTATCTGGACGGTATTGATCCAGTAAGTGAAGAAAGGGCGATGGTCCGTACGATCATCTAAATCGTTCGTACAGAATAGTTTTATTCGTCTTGCAACGGGGCGTTGGGAATTCTCTAACACGCCATCTAAAAGTTGAGCCGATATGCGATTACCTCGTATGCCATGTAACTGCTGTTGATGCTGTTGCATAGAATGCTGTTGGTGGGTGATTTGTTGTTCGGCACTGGCATGAACCACTATTGGTTGATGAACTGTCAGGGATCCATCATTTTGACCAATGATATTACTTGTGCGCCAACCTTGCTGACTACGTTCGCCGCTTATAAACATCTGGCGTTCCACACTGGTTACTCGCATCGATGAATTAACTGACGAATTCGAAATATTTGTGGTATTATTACTGGCATTCACGGTACCTGACCCCGATCCCATTACTCCGCTCGATTCCACGCCGGGTGGAGAATCGAAAAACACTTCGTCATCCTGTAATGCGGACAAGCCCTCATAGAACTCATTACTCGTAACGTGACCACCGTTATTCATATGGAACTGAACATGAGCGGGTGCAAAACTACGAGACCATTGGCGTCGTTTGTATCGAGATGTTTGGTGCTTATTAAGAGTGTGCTTTATAAAACTAAAGCTTTGCACTAACATACTAGCTACAGAAGCTTTTCGTTCCACATGATCCCCCACTTGAAAGTCAACATTATAATGGGGATGATGATATCGGTCGCGTTGACACCGTCCTCCTCTTCCATGTAGACTATTGACACCGTTGTTGACGCCATTGTTTCCTGTACTATCACCTCCACTTCCACTATTATTTAACACTGCAACATCGTCTTCAGTATCTTGAAACGGCAATATATCCGGTCTCTCAGTAGTATGACGTTGGTGATTATGGTGATGGTGGTGATAGTGATGATGTTGATTCTCATTGTTAAACGCAGAGCAGAGGATATTACTGCGTGGCATAGAACCGCTGCCATTATCATTTGAGCAAACATCGTTGAATTCAGCCTAAAAATAAGAAATTTTGGTATTACTCTCACTGTCTTTTCATTAACACAAAATACTTCTTCATAAATTTAATTAATTCATTAAATAAAATTAATTTGAAATAGTTAAATCGTTTTATGAGTTATTTAAGGATCTACATATGTACATTAGGGTGGCCCCGTTTGTATGGAGGAAAAATAAGGTGTCAATGTTCCCAACTAAAATTAAAGTTCAATTAATTCTAAGATACCATTTCTCAAAAAATTTGTCCTGTACCGCAATTCTGTAATTTTTTAATTTTAACTACCGATATCGTAAAGCAACGATAAATATCGGTTGCATTAACGAATTTTCAATTCTGTAACTTTTTAACGACCTTAGAATATTTTAACGACAAAGATCGGAAAAATATGAGAATGTCAAAAGTTTTGTATTGAAATATTTTTTAAATATAAAATTATTAACGTGAACTTTTTATTTGTCGTTACATTGCCGATACTTTTCGTTATGTTTAACGAAAAAAATCGGTGAAATATAATTCAGAATACCACATAACGATAATTATTGTTAACTTACGAATTTTTACTATTTAACGACAAGATTTTGTAGTTAAAAAGTTACTGAATTACGGTACTGGCGTCAATATTTGGTGAGCTGGATCAAAGGATAAAAAGGTCCTTTTTAGAGATTTTTATGATTTTTTTCATTTCTTTCATATTTCTTCATAAGAAAGGGTTTGAATTCAATTTTAGAAATTTTTGTGTAACAGCAAAACTAATCGAAATTTTCTAATTTTTCGGAAAATGTTAAATTTTTTACATTTTAACACAAATGAATTTAATATAATTCGTTAAAATTAATACATAATAATCCTCAATAAAATCTACGGAAACGGTTTTTTCCGTTTTTCAAAATTCAATCTAGATCGAAGTTTATTTGAATTTATTGACCCCTATGCAGAGATACAAGCCGATGCAAAATGATCGGTGGCGACGGCCAATTTAGGTCAGCTCCGGCGGCTAAATTGTCGGCACAATTAAACTTTTTCTTCAGAAATTGACCTTATAAGCGTTTATTATATTGAAAAATGACTTAACCCTCATATCGGCGGCAAACCGGCTGACCACCGGTAATATTTTGCAAGCCGCACCGCCGCCGATATGAGGGTTAATTCATAAGTTTTTATACTTAATATAGAGCATTATTATTACTTAACATAGAGCATTATTCAAATAGATTGTGTTTTTTTTCGAATTTTTGAACTTTGGTGTTAAATTGTTATTATTCTGCCTTTTTTCATTCTATTTTAAATATCGAACTTCAGTAATTTTTGGTAACTATGGGCGACAAATAAATATTATTTCAATAAGGTACACTAAGAATTCACAAATATTTCAAAATTTTAATAAAACTTCAGATATATATTTTATATTATCTGGACTGTAATACTTTAAAAATACTTTATTTAAAATGTACATTAGTAAAGAATTAATACATATTCTCTAAAATATTACAAAAAAAAATGCGATTTTCCCGAAATCCGTAAGAAATATTGACCTAATTTTTATACCCTCCACCACCATCAGTGGTGATAGAGGGTATATATAAGTTTGTCATTCCGTGTGTAACACCTAGAAATATTCATCTGTCACCCAACAAAGTATATATATTCTGGATCCTTATGAAATTCTGAGTCGATGTAGCTGTGTCCGTCTGTCTGTCCGTCTGTATGCCTCAAACACTCTTACGTTAAAACTATGCAAAATAAATCAGCCAAGTTCACTGAAAATATTCACTATTGTCCTGAGCAGTTTGGTATTAAAAATCAGCCAAATCGGTTCCCAACGTAAAAAGTTATAAGTAAAAATTTCAGACTACCTCGAAAAAAATTAAGTTTTTTCCTAATTTTTAAAGAGTTTTCTCAGAAACTACTAAAGATAATGGAATGAATTTTGTCACACCTTATTTTCTTTACCCAGGGATTAAAAATATTCAGACTCAAAACAATCGATTCTAAATTTCTCATAGCCCCCATATAAAGGTACATATTCTCGAAAATAGATTTATCGTTAATAACTTCGGCAAAAATATCGGTATCACCACGAAATTTTACACATATATATATATATATAATAAGAACAGAAATCATATTACCAACGTAGATCTGTATAGGTCGATTATTGGTCACAGCTCCCATATATGGTCCACTTTCGATAAATACTTAAATACAAATAATTAATTCAGAAATAAAGATATTGGAATAATATACAACATAAATATGTTTTGTGTATACATATATCACTTTGCAAAATATTTTTCGGATTGGTCCATAATTGGACATAGCTCCCATATAAGGTCCATTTCCGATAACCACGTAATCGCACATATTACATAACTGAATGAAATTATCGGTATAAAATTCATCATGAATGTGTTTAAAGTAGATATAAAACACCCTGCGAAATTTGTTCCGGCTCTGCCCGTAATTGGTCACAGCTTCCATGTAAGGTCAACTTCAGAAAATTACTTAAATGCACATAACTAATTTAGAAATAAAGATATTGAAATAATATTCAACATAAATATGTATTGTGTATACATACATATATCACTCTGCAAAATGCATTTTGGATCGGTCCATAATTGGGCATAAATCCCATATAAGGCCCATTTCCGATAACCACGTAAACACACATATTTCATAACTGAATGAAGATATCGGTATAATATTAGTCATGAATGTGTTTATAGTAGATATAAAACACCCTGCGAAATGTTTTCCGAATTGTACCTTGCCTTAGATATATTAAGCCGTTTATTGTTGAATAAAATTGTGGACATTTAAGTCAAATTTTGAAGGGGGTTTTGTATAGGGGCTAAGGTCAAATGAGACCCATTAAATAGAACATATTTACTAAATAAACATGTGCATAATTTTTAAATAAACGAAAATAATATTTAATAAAATATGTGTTAAAATCAGTGACTATTGAACAATCAATTTTTTTTCTTCGTTTAAATAAAAGCAAGCATTCTTACTTGCTATATTCGGCTGTGCCGAATCTTATATACCCTTCACCACAGTGTATTTAAAAAATATCAATTCTATTAAACTTTAATTTATTTCATTTTCCCGTTTATATCATTACTAGCATACCCTGGGTGCTTCGCTACCCTAATCAAAATTAAATACATACAAAATTTTGTTTACTATTATAGGAAATTACAATTGATGAAAATTTTTTATGTTTCAGTTTTTACGTTCAATATCACGTGAATAAATTCGCATTCAGTAAGAAGCTTGTATTTGTAGTTTCATTCGTTTAGCTTCCATATTATAGAAAATTTTGAAAGTACTATTTGAAAAAAGTACTATAAAATACCTTTTATAGATTCTCATTTAATCAAAAATTTTGTGTTTCTGTGTTCAATATTATATACAATTCAAAATATATAATTCGATGAATGAAAAAGTACCAAATGTCCCTTTCCGTAGATTGTCATTCATATTTTTATGTTCAAAATCATAAAAATATCAAAAAGTGCCATCGGAAAAACGAAAAAGTACAATTAAATTCTCATTTATTAAGGACCGTGTGTCATGTGCTCCGGTTAACCATTATAGAGAATCCAAAAGGTACCATTTGAAGAATGGAAAAGTACCAAAGACTTCCCACTTACAGAATATTATTCAGTCAAGACCATGTATGTTAAAATTTATGTTCCTAGGTTGAATACCATTTATGAGATAAAACGTACTAAAAAGTTCTCTCTTAAAGAATCTTATTCAATGAGGACAGAGTATGTTTAATAATCATGTGTTTTCAATTCATATTATATAACATACAGAGAGTATAATTTGAAGTAAGAAAAAGTACCAAAAGTGGAATAAATTGTACCTTAGTGGGAAGTGCTAATAAAAATATTACAATTTTTCCCCTTTTCGCTTAGAAATATACTTTTTTTTTGTTTCTAGGATCAATATTATAAAAACACAAAATGTACCTTTTAAAGAACGAAAGAGTACCAAAAAGTCCCCTTTTATAGGTCCTCACTTAATCCGGGCTTAATTTCACTAGGTTCAATATTATACAAAAATCCAAAAAGTACCTTTTGAAGAACGAAAAAGTGCCAAAAAGTCCCCTTTTATATGTTCTCACTTAATCCAGGCTCTACATACTTAATTTCATGTTTCTAGGTTCAATATTATAGAAAATTCCTTTTGATGAACGAAAAAGTACCAAAAAGTCCCCTTTTATAGATTCTCATTTACTCCGAGCTCTAGATGCTTAATTTCATGTTTCTAGGTTAAATTTTATAGAAAACTCAAAAAGTACCAGTCGAAGGACGAAAAAGTACCAAAAAGTCCCCTTTTATAGATTCTCATTTACTCCGGGCTCTTCATGCTTAATTTCACGTTTCTAGGTTCCATATTATACAAAAATCCAAAAAGTACCTTTTGAAGAACGAAAAAGTACCAAAAAGTCCCCTTTTATAGGTTCTCACTTAATCCAGGCTCTACATACTTAATTTCATGTTTCTAGGTTCAATATTATAGGAAATTCAAAAAGTCCCTTTGAAGAACGAAAAAGTACCAAAAAGTCCCCTTTTATAGATTCTCATTTACTCCGGGCTCTACATACTTAATTTCATGTTTCTAGGTTAAATTTTATAGAAAACTCAAAAAGTACCATTTGTAGAACGAAACAGAACCAAAAAGTCCCCTTTTATAGATTCTCATTTACTCCGGGCTCTACATGCTTAATTTCATGTTTCTAGGTTCAATTTAATAGATAACTCAAAAAGTACCAGTCGAAGTACGAAAAAGTACCAAAAAGTCCCCTTTTATAGATTCTGATTTACTCCGGGCTCTACATGCTTAATTTCATGCTTCTAGGTTTAATTTTAAAGAAAACTCAAAAAAATACCTGTGTAGAACGAAAAAGTACCGAAAAGTCCCTTTATTATTAATTTCATGTTTCGATTTCAATATCAAAGAAAACTCAAAAAGTACCAGATGG